GGGCCCGGCCTCTTCCCAACTTAGGGCGGCGGCGGCGGGCCCGCGCCCCTGACTCCCGGGCCATGGCGCTGCGAGAGCTCAAAGTGTGCCTGCTGGGGGTGAGTGGTGGACACTGGCCCGGGAGGGGCCCCACGTGTCCCCAGCCTGCCCGGGGCACCGCCTGCTGTCCCCCAACCTGCTGTCCCCCAGCCGCTGACCCCCAGCCGATGACCCCCCAGCCTGCTGACCCCCAGCCTGCTGTCCCCAGCCTGCTGTCCCCCAGCCGATGACCCCAGCCTGCTATCCCCCGGCCTGCTGTCCCCCAGCCTGCTGTCCCTCCAGCCTGCTGTCCCCCAGCCTCCATTCCCCCAGCCGATGACCCCCAGCCTGCTGTCTCCCCAGCCTGCCAGCAGCACCTCCTCCTGTCCCCCCAGCCTGCTGTCCCCTAGCATCCTATCCCCCAGCCTCCAGTCCCCCAGCCTCCTTCCTTGCCCCTCTGGCCATCCTGCCCACCAGGCAGCACCCACCAGATGACCAGGTGGTCGGAGGGATCCTCCCCCTTCTCCCATCTGAGATCCCAGAAAGGGGGAACCCCTGAAACCTGACTCTTTGACCCCCAAGAGTTAGGAGCCTCCAGGCCTCTTCATAGCACCCAGCTTCAAAGCAGGTCTTAAATAGTTTGGGCTAACTTTTCAGGGTTCAGGTCTTCCAAAGTGAAAGCAGGGCCAGATCTGTGGGTTTTATGAGCCCCCTTCTCCTCTGTCCCATCTGTTGATTGGTTTTGAACTTGTGGAAGGCCCTGACCAGTCATGCAGTTCCACTCTGTGAATGTCTGGCTTTTGAGATCAAGTCTAAGAAACTTGCCCCTTTGTCAGGAAACCCCGGAGGCCATTGTGAAGTTGTAGCTGCCCCTGTTAGGGCCTTCTGTGCCCTGCCAGAGGATTCTGAAGGTGACACTAAAGATCGAAAAGATTCCAAGTGTTGTTGTTAGATGCCGTCAACTTCCAACCAGTCTGTCCTACTGCCCTCAGACGGGGAAAGGGGACTAGGCTTTATCAGGGATTGCACAGAGCTGCTTCATGAGTTTGTAAATTTGTTCATACGTGGTACAGAGTGGACTTGGCCCATTTCGTATGAAGCAGAAACTTTGGGTCTTCCAAGAGTTCCTAATGTCTTTTTAAAACTTTCGACATCACTCCCGGCTTTCCAAAGGTCGCCAGCTTGGAAACCTACAAATAGTTCTGCCCTGCACAAGGTGGGGTGCCCTGAGTTGGAATCTAACAGCCCAACGATGAGGGAGGGAGCTGTGATGAAAGGCTCCGTCATGTCCCCTCACTTCTCTGAAAGTTACGGGTTTGGGATCAGTTTCTAAAGTCCTGAACTCCGCCACCAGCAGTTGTCGGTGCCTGTGAAGCTGGGTCCAGTTCTCTAATCAGGTCCCCTCTTTCTCTTTCAGGATACAGGTGTAGGCAAATCAAGTATCGTGTGGCGCTTTGTGGAAGACAGCTTTGATCCCAACATCAACCCAACAATAGGGTAAGCGAAGAAGTTGATTTCATATGCTTTGAAAGGCCTTCCAGATAAAAAGGTCATGCAGTGTGGGTGTGGCCGTCTGACACTTGGGAGTTCTGAGGAGCAGATTCCAGTTTCTCAGGGGAGGGTTTGGAAAAATCCAGTGATCTACTTTTTACTTGTGAGGAGGAGAAGGTGCCAGGAGGAAAGATGGCATCTAACTTAGAATATAATAGACCCTTCAGTCCTTCAACATTGGCAGCAGTTACACCTTAAAGTGAGACTGATGAAAACAAGTCGGAGTACTGTCATAAGGCATGATCTGCCTCGTAGATGAATAATAGATCATTTTATTCCTTCCCAAAGAGTGGGGTCTGAATCCTTGTCACGGATTAATAATAATAATATTAATAATAAGATGTTGACGTGTAAGTTGTGGGTTGTTTCCCGCTGGGACTCTCATTCATTGTCACTGCGTCACAATTGACCCCTCGCTGACTCCTCCACAGCAGGTTTCTGATGCTGTGAGTCCCCTGGGAGGAGATCGGCCATCCTTCTCTCATAGGGCAGCTGGTGGACCCGCCTTTGTGTTAGCAGCACAGCTGCCTGTGGGCTCCACTGTCAGCTGACTGAAACGTTGGTGGTTCAGGCCCACCAGCCGCTGCGAGGGGGAAAGGCCGTTTTCCTCCAGGGAAGATTTACAGCCTCGGAAACCTGGTGGAGTGTCATCGTAAGCTGGAACCAACCCAGCAGGAGTGTTGTTTGGGCCTTTGGAAGAGTGTGGTTGACTGACGTGTATGTGGTCGATTCCGAGGAAGGGCTTCGTGGTATTTCATTATCGCAATGGCAAGTACCATTGCAGAAAGACAAGTGGTGTTCTGTTGGTGGTTGGTTGGTTGGTTGGTTTTATAGGTTGTGATTGAGCCTATAGATGCTGTATTGTTTTTATCACCCCTCCTCCCTAATCTCAGGGAGCTTTGTGATCTGCAGGTCGTCTGTCTGAGAGTAATGGCACCTGAGAGTAATGGCAGACAAGTTGTACTTTACAGCAACCAAGGGAAATGATCGGGAAACTGTCCTAGAGAATTGTAGGTTCCTGCCGCCGTGTCTGTTTACGCACTTGACGTCTCGGGTGCTGCCTTTATTAAGCTCTGTGGATCCCTGCTCATCTGGAGGTGTGGGGGGGGAAATCCGTCGCCAACTGATTCTGAAATGAAAGTGCCTTCTGGTCCTTTGAGGGCAGGGACTGGCTACGCCCCGTCTCCACCGTGGCTACGCCCCGTCTCCACCGTGACGTACGTCCGCCTCCTCAGGGCCTGCCTGTCACTACCTGCACGGGAAAGTGAAGGCAGAGGAAGGGGGAATGGTGGTGACTCAGGGACGGACACCTTCGCTCTGAGTCAGGGCTGGAAACACAGAACCCACACACAACACAAAAGGCGTCACCCCAAGTGGAAGGGCTTGTCACACACGTTCCTCACAGAGAAAGGAAGTGGCTGGCACTGTGCTCCCTACGCTCCTAGGCTGCCCTTGTGCCCTTCTCACCAGCAGCCCCCACTGCGTCCGACGCTCTTGGCTCCCAGGTCTTCGCGGGTCCCACCTCACACAGCGCCTTGCCTCACGTTTCGCGAAGAAGTGTCTCAGGCTTTCTTTTCCTTCCTTCTGCTTTCCTCTAGTGGGTAAGACGTTGCACTGCTAACTCAGAGGTATGTGGTTTGAATCCACCAGCTCCTCCGAAGGACAGAGATGGTCATCCCGCTCTCAGGTGACTTCCCGCCTCTGGAAACCTGCTGGAGGGTCAGCAGTGAGTCGCTTCTGACTCAGCCGCAATGATTGTCATCACAGTCACACTCTCTTTGAATGAGCTCTGGTGGTGCAGTGGTTAAACACTCACCTGATAATCCTAAAAGCCAGTGGTTGGACCCATTCAGAAGCTCCGTGGGAGAAAATGTGGCCTGTAAGATTGTAGCTTTGGAAACTGGGGGGCTATTCTATTCTGTCCTATAGGATCTTGTAAGAACAGCAACAAACACTTTTTCTTAGCTTCTTTCTTCAGCTGTAAAAAAAAGGCGTCTTCCGCGTTCAACATCCACCCCCCTCCCCAGGCACTGTCCCTGGAACCCGGGCCCCTACCTCTTCCTCAGTTCCCCCTCTCTTTCCCCAGCCCCCCCCGTCTTACACTGCCGTGCAGCCATGCTCCCAATCAGCCCAGCTCTCATTTCCCCAACCCTGCACAGAGTCGAGCTCTGGAAGAGAAGCTTCTGCTTCCTCTCCCTCTCCTCCTGCTTCCTCTCCCTCTCCTCCCCAGCACTGCCGTCTCTGCTCCACCCCACATCCCTCTAAGCCAGGTTCCGGTTTCCTTCGCTTGGCAGCCTCCGTGACATCTTTCAGCTTTGCTCAGTCGTTCTGTGCCAGATGCTGGTCTGAGTGCTAGCAATTTAGGCTAGGAGTCAACAAAGCACAGTCTTTGGCCCACTAGCTATTTTTGTAAATAAAGTTTTATTGGAACACACCCATTCGTTTACATCATCTCAAAGCATATTTTGGGCTTCCGTGGCAGCACTGTGGAGTCTGGGTGTGCCTGGGAATGTGTGGCCCACAAAGCCAGAAATATTTACTACCTGGCCCTCTTCAGGAAGAGTTTGCCAGCTTTGGTTTCTTCTAACATAGTTCCTGCCTCAGAGGTCTTACCTACAAGGAGGAGTGAGGCATAATCTGTAACTCATGTACAGGAAATGACTTAATTGGCCGCTTTAAGTGCCATGAAAGAGAGGGTTCTGCCCTTTGATCTTCGGTAAGGAGCATGAGTGCTATCAGAGTCCGAGGATGGGATGGGGTTAGCCAGCGTCCTGTTGTACAGAGGGCTGCTTTAGTCAGAGTAAACCTGACAGCACCTGACAGTGGCCACCTGACAACGGTACACAGGGCAAACAGGGGCAGCTGTGGAGGTGTGGCCTCGGCTTAGGGAAGTAGTACCATTTAAATATTTCAATGATGAGTGGATTGAAAGTGGCAATTCCTCAAAAATACTACACTAGAACTGCAGTGTGGTCCAGCAGGTCATTCCTAGATGTATACGCTCCCCCCAAAAAGGAGAGCAGACACTTAAACCCCAGTGTTCACTGTAACACAGTCAACAATCATCAAAAGGTAGAAACGGGATGCTTATCAGCAAGGTGTCGCCTGCGTGCCTGCCCCTTCTGCGCTGCACTAGGAGCTGACTCAGCTCCCCTCGGGCAGGTTTCGAACCGGGAAGTCGCACAGGAAATAGCCTGTCGTCTTACCTGGGGCCTCCAGTGGGTTCAGGCTGCCAGAGAGGCATGGTTTTTAGATGAGCATCACAGCACCCTGCAGACTTGGCCACCCGAGCTCTCTGCTGCATCCGGACCAAGTGCAGGTCCTGTTCAGCCAGTAAGAGACGTGAAAGCCTGACACGGGCTCCGGAACGAGGGACTGGAAGACATCACGCTGAGTCAAATAAGCCATCACAGAAGGACAAGTACTGTATGGCCTCAGCTGTAGAAGCAGCAAGGGGTCAGGGGACATGGATTATTAGTGGTCACCAGGAGTGAGAAAGAAGGGGTATTACCTGTAGTGAGAATTTTGTGTTGGTTCATTCAGGTTAGGATTGTAACACTATACAGCCAGTCACTTAACTGATGTCAGTAAACGGTACCCCTTGAGAAAGCTGCATTGGCCCAGTATGTGAGGAAGTGGCATTTACAGCAGTGAGAGAAGGGGAGAGTGGCTGACGACTGAGGATACTTCCATTCCAGCAGAAACCTCACGGGGTTTGGTGTCTGGATGTGGAAGTTTAGGGTCCTGTTTTTTCATGGGAATCCTAATTGGCCTGATGATATGTTTAATTCTTCTACCTACTAGTCCATCGCACGGTGCCTGGGGTCTTGAAAGTTTGCAGGCAGACATCCCAGACAGAGGCATAATTGTTTTCCTGAAGTAACCAAGAAGAGAGACAGGACGGGGAGGGGGATGTGGCATGTGTGAACAGCTGCCTTCTTCACCAGGAGGCCGGAGGACCTAGATGGGCCCAGGGACCAGTCATAAACGTTTGGATCTAAGATGTCATGAATGAGTCTTCATCAAAAGAGGGGAAATACAGAAAAAAATTGCAGATTTTCAGCAACTTCAGACTTTCTGAAATTGTTACACCAAGATTTTTTTTTTCCCCCTTAAGATTATCTTTAACCTTAGACAAAACAAAACAATCCCTTGAAGTCTTCTTACAGCCAAACAGTAGTCCTTTATTGTTGTTCTCAGGTGCCACTGAGTCGTCTTTAACCTCCTGCATGACCTTTATGTACACAGGGGCTAAGGCTGCCCAGTTCTGTGCCGTCCTTACAGTCACTGCTGTTCCAGCCACTGTGTCCCTGCATCGTGCCATCCCACCAAGCACCATGCTCCCCAGGGTCCAGAGTCTGTGACCAGGTCTCACCATTCTTGCTTCTAAGGGGTACTTCCTGCAAGACCAATTGGTTTGTTCTTTGTCAATTAATAGACATTTTAAAAGTCTGCCTTGAGCATTATGCTGTTTCTCAAATTATGTACATAGTGTCACAAAAGCAATTTGAGAGATTAGATTTGGAACCTTAGGGGGCTGCAAATCTTTATGGTAATAAGGGAAGAACCGCTCAGAGAAGGAGGCTAAGAATGGTTGCACCTCTTGAGAACATAACCAATGCGCTGAAATGTGTGCATACAAACCTTGTTGATTAGTGTGTGTATTACTGTGTAACAATACCGGAGGAGGTTAAGTAGATAGTGGTGACGGATGCTGAGAAGTGGCTGAGGACACAGCGGGAGGGTAGGTGGTGGGCAGGGTGGGTGAGGCAGTGGAGTTCTGCCACCCGGGGTAGATCCCAGCGTCACTTCTGCGGGTCACATTGTGCCTTCATTCTTGGTTCTCCTGAATCTGTGACCATTCTGATTTCCTGTCCCCTCCTTCATTTGCTCCATCTCCCCCTGTCCTGTCCTTTGTCCCACAGCTTAGCCTCACAGCCTGCTTC